AAGCGAAACGAACTTTCCACCATATACTTAAATAAAAATAAAATATATATATATATATTTTGCTAAAGAAAAGAAACTTCTGTGCGCCCCATCCCCCTCTGCCCCCTGCCCCCTGCTCCACTGTGTGCACTTTGCGGCATGATTTTTATTGATTTATAGCGTTAATATTTTTGCTTTAATGCGTCAAATAAATTAAATTGTCTTACGCACCTTTCAGACAACAACTCGCAAAGGGCAAAACTTTGACGACCTCAGCAATAATGGCCAAGTGGAGCAGGGGGGCAGGGTGGCAGGGGCTTGGTTTTGGAGGCGAGCGGGGTGTGGCAGTAACAAATGCATAACTTCGATTTCAAAAGCAAATAAATATTCATAAAAAAAGAAAGAGGAAAAAAATATTTTTGCACTCTCAAAAGCACTCTGCAGATCTTTAGGGGGCAAGCAGGCTTGGGGGCAGTGGCAAGGTGGTAAGGTGGCAAGGCTTGGGGGCAATGCCAAGACACTGAATTATAAATATTCATTTATGCTAAGCGCCGTCGCGTGAGTATTTGCAAGTGTCTGCCACTGCCACAGTTTCTGCCACACTCTTTGCCCCATTAACTGGCGCAGTCTCTGCCCCAATCTGTGTCTTCGCTTTGCGCTGTGTTGCGCGTTTTGCTGCCTATACGTGGCGTATGATTGATTTAATTACCATGCAATGCGAGTTGTCTGACAAGCGCCTTTTCATCGAATTTGCCCCGCTTTGGATTTTTTTTTGAGCAACAGACTGTTGCATGCCCCTGACCTTTGCCCTTAAATGACATTTGGCCTTCAAAATAGTAGCAGCTGTAAAAAAATGTAACATTTCTCATTTATTTTGCCTATCTTGGGAATTGAGCACCATTGAAATTTATGCTGATTTCGGAATGCAGATTTTAATATTGGAAATTATTTAATTAAAAAACTTGTAAACGTTTTTGGATATATTTATTTATTTATTTTTTAATTCATGCATTGATTTACAGTGCAAGTGAATATAATATTAAAGCTGCGCATATACAAATTTTGTTTTGTAATTAATTATTTTTTTCTATTTCTGCATTGAGTTTTGAAATATACCAATTAGATTTACAAATAAAATAAAAATAATAATTTATTTGAAAAGTTGAGCAAAAAACTAAAATAATGTATTGCCAATAAATTGTTACTTATTTTTTGTTCACTTGAAAAAAGTGTTTAATATTAATAGCTGAGCATAAACTGTCTAAGAACTTAGTCTGGTTATATTTGATTTTAATTATTTATTTACTGTGGACTAGAGACCATCCACAAAGGAAAGGAAAGCTTTTAAAAAATTAAAATGATATTTAAAATTTAAATTTTGAGTTATTTTAAGAGCTGAGCACAGATTGTTTGTTATTTAGTTGATATTTCATTATTCATTTGCCTAAGTATTTTCTGGCTATATTTATATTAAAAGCTGAGCATAAATTCTTTGTCGAGCTGTCCATTTTTGTTTAATTCAGAGAGTCGATTTTCAGGGAAATTGTTTATTGCTAGCTTTGTCTCGTTTTGCAGAGTTAATTGTGAACCACTTTTGAGGGTCGGACATAAAAGCAGACCTGGCAAATCTTATCGGAGACGTCAGAGAATGGCATTGTTCAGATTATTGTTGTTGCTGTTGTGGTTGCTGGTGGTGTTGGTGGTGGAGTTGGTGGAGTTGGTGTTGAAGCTGAGCTAAGCGCTAGCTAGCACCCGCATTCACATAATTTCCGTTTCCTTTGTGGCGCCCACAGCAGCGGCAAACAAACAAGCGGCACTCGTACTTCATGTAATCAACATTTTAATTGCGGAAGCGGAACTCACACACACACACACACACTTACACACACATGCGTACACATGTGGCCAGCACACATACAAACACACACACCTCTACACAGTTGTGATAGCAATAATAGCACCACTACGACATTTTCATCTTACTAATGCAAAAAACATTCTGTCCTTTTTAATATTCCGCCTACAAATTAAAGTTAGTACTGCTACTGGAATTATTTTCAATATATGTATATATATACGTATATATATCTTTTTTACCAATTGTAAAGTAGCGAAAAAAAATAACACCATTCTTTTTGTGGCAATAGTTTATTTATTTCCAGCTTTTATAATTATGAGCTGATTTGAGAAATTATGCTCTTTAACTTTAAGTTAAATGAATTATGATTGTTTTCTTCCACATTTTCTTTTAATATTTAATTGAATTTAAGAGAGTTGAAAGCAATGAACAAATTTATGGATTTTTCTCATTTTTCTTAAGAGTATTTTTGAACTTTTAAATATGTATTTACAAGTTGCCTAAATTCACTAATTTGAGAACATTGCTTGAGAGAGTGGTGCTATTATTTTGTCCACAGCTGTGCATCTATCTGTTACACATTACGCATACGCAATGTGTGACTGTTGCTTTGCTTAGCGTTCGCATTCTTTGTCGCTGCCAATGCAGGTGTTGTGTCCATAGGTATAGTCTAGGGAAGGGCGGAGTTGTGTAGGTGGTGTGTGTGTGAATGTGTGTGTGTGTGTGTGTGTGTGTGTCTGCATTAGTGCAAAACATTTTGCACGTGAACGAGACCGGCGACAGCACGTCAGGAATTCATTACATCAAATATAAAGAAAGTTTTAGGCAATTTGCCAAAAAATACGACCCCAAAAAAAGCTAAACTATCAGGGAGAGATCGGGAGAGGGAGGGGAGATAGAGAGAGAGAGAGTTCTGTGGGGAGGGTGAGGAGGGAACAGGAGAAAATTCCCCATACGCTGCAGCTGTAACGAGCTGACTGCAGCATGCAGGTATCCATAGATATATTTAAGCACCAAATCTACTTAGTAGATGGGGGCAACCAGAACGTAAACGAATTTCCGAATATGCACCAGCTACAACAACAACAACAACAATAACAGTTGCAGCAGTAGCAGCAGGTGAGATGAAGGCCACAGGCTCAAGCCGGTGCAGAGTGCCATCTACTATACAGCATACACTCAGAAAAAACGAATCAGAAAGTAGAGTTTTTAAATGGAAGGGGTGGCTTTTTGTCTTTCCAAAAACCCTTATGTATTTTGTATGTATTATGTAATTATTTTGTAATCTTAAAAAGTATTTTAAGAATTTTATTTTCGTTTATCTACAAGCAATAAAAAAAAGTAATCAGAAAATATTTTTAGTATTATATTTTAGGGCAATTTTTTTTTTGAGTGTACATATTGTCTTGTACATATATGTGTATGGATATACAGGTGAAGAGAGAGAGAGAGAGAGAGAGGAGAAGGGGGAGAGAGAGGGAGGAAAAGGAAGCGAGTGTTGAGCTGCCGAAACACTTGAGCGACAATGGCAGCAGCGAGACCCGTTCGAGAGCTGCTGCAACTGCAGCTTTTGCTGCCTTTGCTGCCTTTACTAACTTTGCTGCTGTTTTCGTTTGGATTCCCACCCTTTTTATTGTTGTTGTTTTTTTTACGGGTATGCCGCAGCAGACATGATAAATTCTCTTTAGTATGCGACATACATGAGTGATGATATTAACCAACAACAGGCCTGACTCCCGAACAGTTACTGAAAGTGGAACACAGCAGGGACGGACAAGTCAACCAGTCGAGTCAGTCAGTCAGTCAGTCAGCCAGCTTGCTAGTGAAAAAGGAAGCAAGTCAAAGGAAAAAAGGAAGCCCGAAACAGGAAAGGGAGTCGTCCTTGTGGTCGTCTCTGCTTACCTTGGGCTGAGCTCGGCTGCTACATGTGTGGCGACGTGTGTGTGTGTCTAGTGCCACAAAATATTGTTAGTGGGTATCGTGTGGTTTTTGGGCTTTTGGCTCATTTCGCTTGAGTTTAAAACTAGTTTTTCGCAGCATTTGGTTAATTGCGCAAAATTGCATTCACATTGCAATCTTAATTTAAAAAATATACTTTCAACTTTTCCATTCAGTGTTCCAGTTAAATTCTAGTTCGTTGAGCGGCTGTTCAGCTACTCTGAATCTTAATTGAATAACAAAAGAGAATAAAACTTGGCTACTTTTGCATTCAATGTTTAAGTTTTTTTTAATTTTAACTAGAACATTTACTTAACACATTTTTGCTTCTATCATTTTGGTATTTGTTATATATTTTGTGTGTTTCTTGGCATTGTTACTACTTACACCAAAATGAGCGGAAAATTGCAAGCAGTTGAATCTATCATGGATCTCACAAGGCAACAACCGAAGCAGAAGTTGAGGCAAACCCCAGACTCAAAGGGGCAAAGCAAGTCAAGTGTCTCAAGTAAAGCTCAATCATTATCAAACCCATCCAGTAAACTTAGCAGGGCTTCGACCAAGTTAAAGATAAAAAAATCCAGCGGCTCAAGATTGAGTGATACGAGCATTTTTTCCCATCTCTCGCTAACAATGTCTTCGAGGAGTGTCAGCAGCAATAGCACCATATCTCGATCATCCCACTCGAAACACTCGAAGCACTCGAGTGACTCGAAATCGATACATTCAAAGGATTCGATTCAACGCGTCGCCCAACTGTGGCGGGTAAAAAAGAAACCAGTTGTGGAACCAGTTCCAGTCTTGCAGGAATCCAAAACATATTCCGATATACTGCTCTACTCGGATGAGGAGGATAAGCGTTCAGATTTATCTATTGCCGAGCAAAAGGAACAAATTGTCTACCTGCAGCCGATGGACAGAAGAAATGCGATTTTAGATATGTTAAAGGAAATACCAGATATTAATGAGTTATCCGATACCAGTTCGTCAGTCGAGCTGAAACCCAGAGAGGAAGAGGAAGGGGAAGAGTAAGGAGAAGGGGAAGGGGAAAAGGAAGAGGTCTCCGATCTTAAGGGACATTTTGTGGCACCAGTTCAGTCCGCATCAATTGATGAAGTGGAGGAGGAAGTGACTGGAGATCAGCAAGGGGATGCCACATATAGCAGTTCGCTGCCATCGCTGGATAGTTTCAGTGACAGCGACAGTGCTTGGGATCAGCGCTCTGTGGCATCGATGGGGGAAGAGGACATTGCCTCAGCTTTCACACGTATCAGGATTTATGACAGCAATGTGAAATTCTTAAATTTGACTGAGGAAACGCCGCAGGATCCGCAAACGATGGCCACAACAATCTGTCAGTTATTCCTACAACATCTGATCGAACAAGTTGTGCAGAAATGTGAACGAAACTCGCAGGAGGAGGGGGTGGAGCAGTTGGGGCTCCATCACCGTCTGGATAAGGAGAAACTGATGGAAAAACTAATCGCGCTGAGCCACCAGCTTGACGAGGAGCTCTGGTTCAATGATAACCTGCAGCTGGGACTCAAGGATTATTTCAGTCGCAGGAAAGCCTTCGACATGATCAACCCCAATCAATTTGAGGCCATCAATCAACAGCGCTACAAAAGCAGCCTTATCGAATTGGACAGATTGCTCGAGTTGGAGGATGCCACAATGCATAAATCTGAAACTCTGTGCCACGAGTTGCAGCAGAAAGTCGAAAGTTTGACAGTCGATGCTGCGGAGAAGAATTTACACTTGAAGAAAATCATCGAAAAGACGCTGCTCACAAATGAGAACTATGTCCATCTGCAGGAGATGATGAACAACTTCCTCAATGGCATGGATCGCTTCCGGAACGAGCTATGCGACATGCAACTCGAGCTGCTCCACATGCAGCATCGATATGCCGACATACAAAATGTAAGTTTTTGAAAATCGCCTTAAAAAGTTGATCACTTTTCTTGTTTTTAAAAATAATTTCAAAAAACAAGAAAACATTTTATTAAAAAATAGAAAGGCTTCTCCTAAATTCAATTCAATTGATTTTTCTGAGTGCATCAACTTGACTTGCTTAATCTGCGTCTTTGTAGAAATCGGAGGAATTAGAAAATCTTGGGGGTGGACTCTATATGCGGGATTATCTGACTAATCAGACGCTTGTCCAAGTGCTGGTGGGTAAGATTGCAGAGCGGAGTGCTGAGCTGAATCGCTTGAAGTTGAAAGCCAGATACGATGTCCATGCACTGGCACATCTCAAGTGCAAGGAGCACATGAATCTCAGGACCTACTCTCGCCTCGCGGCCAGGCTGAAGGAATGCGAGGAATCTAGACGGCATTTCCACGATCTCATGTACCACGGCAAGTTGAGGCACATCAGGCTGTGCAGGGAGCTAAACAAAATCAAAACCTCGGGAACCCTGCTCTGCTATCCCCACCTGCTGAAGGACTTTGACAGAACTATCGACTATGTGAACACCAAACGCAACTCGGTCGAGACACTGCGAGAACAGCAAAAACAAATAATTAGTCGCATTTCCGTGATCGAAACTAAAGCAATAGCCTCAACGAGTCGAAATCGATCGAAGACATCATTAAAGACCCTTAAGAGGGAACCACCGAATTGAAATTTTAATAAACGAAATAATTTATTGACTTCTTTTTGAAAGTGGAAAAACTTAAGAAATATATTTAATTAATCAGCATTTTTCGCTTATGCTTATAGTGAATAGAAATAATTCGTATAATTTCTTATCTCGATCATTCATCATTCATTATATATTTATTTTGTCAGACTTATTCTTGTCTAGAAGGGCATGTAATCTGCGACATTCCTGGGATTATCGCTCTTTCTTGTCTAGCTTATCACATAATATGCTCAACAATAATTTTGAATACAAAGGACTTCAATGAGCTTGTTATGGAGAAATGCAATTTCCTGGCATTCTCCCATCTTTCTTTCTTCTTCATAATAAGTGTCATTCTTCCAAATGCATAATAGCAACAATAACAAAAGCTGTCAAAGACATTCCAAATACACACTTCCTCTCTCTCTCTCTCTCTCTCGCTCTCTCTCTGTCTCTCTATCTCTGTCTTCATCTCTCTCTATTTTGCCTTCTCTTTTGTCTGCTCGAAAAGTCATGTTTTGCATCGTTCGGCAGATGCCATATATCTTTGTATGGGGGCCAAACAAGAGTAACAAACATTGGGTACATAGTCAACTGCAAGCACACTGACACACACACACACACACACACACACACATTCCCCAACACATTCACACACACTCGCACACACACACATGTTTACGCAGGTGGAAGCACATTGTCAATGTATTAGTTTTGTGGCCAGCTTTAACGACAGATACCAAAAACAGCAAAGAGAAAGAAATATAGAGAGAGAGAGAGAGAGAGAGAGAGGGAGAGAGAGGGAGAAAAAAAGTTATAGATAGTGGGTACTTTAAAAAGAGAGTGGCTGGCAGACACACTTAGAAGCAAAATCGTCTTGAATTTTAGAAAATGGCTCCAAAAATTAGAAAGCTTTTCTTGTTTTCAGAAATCATTTCGAAATAGAAAAAAACATGTTTTTCCATATTACAAATGGATAAAAATGTTTCTATAAATATTTTCTATTATTAAGAAACGCATTTCTAAAGAGCAGATATGCAAATGCTGATTCCTAGATAATATACTTTCTGAAATTCAGAAAATAATAATGAAATTTCTGAAATTAGAGTTTAGCTGTTGTACAAGTAGTTCTGTGGGAAATCGTAATATTTTGCTTTTTATAGCACAAATAAATGTATCAACTATGTAAAATATTTATTTGATTTATATTTATGTAATCTTAAATAATAATAATTTATCTTAACAATATACGCAAACATAAAGCAAATAAATTGATCAAAACACCCTAGGATCTAGACATAATTATTCCAAATAGTGAGAAAACACATCCTGCAATTCAAAAAAGAAAAACCCTGATTACCAATAATAATAAGATGAGTTTTCGAATTGCTAAAGATAGGGTCGATTGTTTTTCTGAGTACATGCAGATGAGTTGCAAGCACGGAGTTGTTTTTCCTTATTTTTTGTGGCAGCTGTGGACGGCTTCTTGGTATGCACAATTCATGTTGCACTTAAGCAACAACAACAACAGTGGGGCATGTGCGGCATGTGGGGCATGTGCTGTGAAAGAGAACAAAAAGTGGCGAAAACTAATAGCAAAGAAGCTGTGCCGCCTCCGGAGGCAGACCGAACCAGACTCTAAAACGAGACCCCCAAATCGAGTTAATGGCAAAGGTGCTGATGTTGTCCCATTGCCTCTTTGCCCCTCCCCCCTTCACTTCTTATACCCTTTTCGTCTGTGTTTTTTTCCCAGGTATTTCAGCAATTTTTTTTGTGTTTTTTTTTTTTGGTAACTCTCACGTGTGTTTGGCACGCATGTTGCAAGCGCTTATCGGCAACGTCGCAGCATGTAAGGGGGAACTTGGGGGCTAAGTGCCGCTGACAGCGCATAGTGTATGTTAAGAGGGCATGGGGCGGGAGCTGAGGGATCTCTGCTGCTGACCTGTTAAGACGAAATGCCGTTAGCAACGAGAGTAAATTCGATTTTGCACTTGAGCCGCTTGCAGCTAATGCAGCCAACAACCTGCCGCATCAGCCCACTCTGCACCTCCCATCCCTACCCCTACCCCTACCCCTCCCCTATCAGCCTCTCTCAGACCTATGAATGCTTGTTTTTGTGAGTTGGTGCTGCCGGCCAGCTGGAAGAAATAGCTGCAAAAAATGCTCAAACTAAAACTAAAGGCTAAGGCTAATGTGCTCTTCAGGCGCAATCGAGGGCAGTTTCAAATACTTGAAAATACTTTAAAATACTACAATATATTTGAAAATACTTTTAAAATACTGGTAGCATAAATCTCGTTTAATATTAGTAGACAAAACAAATTAATTAAATTCCTTACTTTAATAATAGACAAAATATTCTTGTGCCTAGACACGGGTCAAAGACTTGTGAGTAAGCCCTCGTCCACATATTTCTGGTGGTATTTTGGTGGTATATTGGAGGGGGTGTGGAGTGGGGGAGGTGAGGTTATACGCAAGTAAAAGCAATTTGAGGTGCTCAGGAAAGGACGACAAACAATTTGCATATGCAATGCACGTGCGCATCTTCAATTTACAATTTGGATGTCGGCTAAATGCGCATCTATGCGATAGATCTATAAACCAATTTCCGCAGCCAAAACCAAAAACACATTCAATTTGTTGTTGTGTTTTGTTGTTGTTGTGTCGCGCTCAATTAACACTGGTTGATTTTGATGCATTTCCTTTGCACACCATTTTGATGATGACGTTGCATAAGTGCTCCCGCCATTTTGCACAAATGCACACTCACAAAAAGAATTGACTTTATTTTAGAGATTCAACATTTTTTTTGTGGCGCCAAGGGCAGCTGATCTCATTATTCAGAATGAACATTTCTAAGATTGAAGGTTGTGACACACAATATGTTGTTTTCAACGTTTGTTGTATATATGTAAATAATTCTTATTTAACTCTTTATTAATTTAAAGAGACTCATCATTCGCGATTGGAGTATTTTCCCATTCTGCTACTTGGACCTAAAGCTGACTATGGCAATCTAACTATAATATTGTAATAATGATGACAAAATTCATCACTATATTCTGAATTTGACAATCGATTTTTTTGCATTTCAACATTTTGAAAAGCATTTCTTAACAATATAAAATATTTCTCAGAAATTGGAAGCACAAACACCAGACTTTTGGTATCGCCGATTTATGGCAAGCTCTTCTAAATGCTAGAAAAATGTTTTCTCATATTTCGAAATTATTTTAAAGCTCAACAAAAAATTTCTAAATTGCAGTGGTTTTTTATTCTGAGTGTAGATAAGGCATGCAATTTGATTTGGTATATATTTAAAATATTTATACATAAATGCAAGCCGAACCAACTAAACATTGTTGTAAGCAACCGTAATACTTGCTGCCAACAACTACTCAACCAGCCAACTAGCCAGCGAACCAGCCCAAAACTAACCAGGCAACAAACCAGCCAAGTAGAACGTCATCCATTCCAGTGGCCGACACTGCACGCCACTTAAAGCAGCACACACACATACGTATGTGTGTGTGCGTGTGTGTATGTGGACATTTTGAGTAATAAACTCATTTCATATGCTGACTGCTTTTTCATTTCAAACTTTTTTGCCAGTGTGTTTGGCTGTTGTTGTACTTCTTGTTAGCCAAGCAACCCGTTTTCTATTTCTACTTTCATTCTGTATTTTTTTTGGGTAGGGTTTGCAAATGGCGCCAAATGATATACGAGTTGTGTGTTGTCCCTCTCTTGTTGTGCAGTGTAGTTTTTAGTTAACTCATTTTGTTGCTTGCTATTTTTTTTAGGTTGTTTTTGCCGAGCGGCTGCGGATTAGACGAGGGCTGCAACTCTTTGCCGGGCTGCAGCAGCAGAAAATATATATTATTAAATAAGCATAGGTGAAACTGCAGTCGTAGTACGAATTGAAGTCCGCATTGGAGTCGGAGTCGGAGTTGCTGCTGTTAAAAGTAGGTGAAACCGGCTGTCAAATGCCTGACACAGCGATAATGAAATTTGCACACGGCCTGTTGGCAGCCCTTAGCACCTTAGCTTCCCCTTATCCTTCAACCCTCTACACTAGCTCTATAACTAAAAACGATGAGTGACATTTTAATAAAGTGCTCAGTTGTTCAATTAAATGCCCCTCAGCCTCGAATGCCTCGGTGCCGTTTAAAAATGCAAAATAGACACACAGTCTGTCACTCAGACAGACATTCAGTCAGACAGTTAGTTAGTTAGTTAGTTTTGCTGGTTAGTTCTCTATCGTCCTGGCTGTTTACAAGACCTTTGCTACTCCCTTTTGCCATTTGATTGTTGGCATTAAATAAAGGACTAAAAATAGGAATATATATTACAAAAAATAAATTGTGGCAAGAATACTTGAGTAAAATGATGTAGATTTTATTTCCTCAAAATAAATGAGCTTGAAATATTTTCTGATGTTAGTTTGATACTTTAAGTTAAGTTCCTTATTAACCTTTATTTTTATATATTACATATAAAGAAAGCTGAGAATATATTCTCAAATAAAATCAAATGCTTTCTTAATAATTACATATAAATTAGAAATTACAGAAATAAATTATGACAAGGCAAACTTGTCTGAAATCGAGAAGCTATGAAATAAATAAATAATTAAATCAAAATAAATGAGTTACAGATATTTCACATATTTTAGGAAATATGTTTCATCGTTTTAATTTGTTACTTTAAAATCAAACGCTGGCCACAACTTACTGCCCAGATTCTTAACTATGGAAAGCATATTAAACATATTATTTAATTTATTGCCTTTTATTGAGTTATTTCGAGTTTTTGGCCGAGTTGCTGATGCTGATGCGGATGCGGATGTTGATGCTGATGTTTATCGTTTGCGACAGCAGCAAACTCAATTATCGCTAATTCAATTGGGGGTATGTGCTCTGTGTGTGTTTATTGGAGTGTGTGTGTGTGTGTGTGTGTGTTGGTGCGTGTGGCAAATTGAATCATTTAAGGTAAAGCTGCTTTATTATTTGTGCCTCTTTGTTGTTGTTGCTACTGCTGCTGCTGCTGCTGCCGCTGCTATTATTATATTTATTTTATTG